TACTGACCCTCTTTCCTGCATGTGCATATCAGAGTGTGCCGCTTCCCTGATTTGTGTTGCTGTATTTCCTTTTATTTGGCATGTAATTATGCTCTTGCATGATTAATAACTGCTGTTATGTAGTGCAAATAGTGATGGTGCTGAAAACACAACAACAGCCTGTGCCTTTTTTGTTAACAAGGTGCACGTTTTTATTAGTCAATGGACAGGCCACTAAACTTACTAATATGTACAGCAGCTAAACTAACTTAGGAAGCATTCTACTAACACCATTTTTGTGTCTGCTAAATAACTTTTAAGTTGCAATAGGGACTATGCTGACACTAGTTCAACAATCAGACAACTCTTTAACTAGTTAGAGCTCCTAGGGGTAGCTGACTAGAATCCAAGACCAAACCTCAAACAGACATGAAAATGGGTTCCGCCTTAGGTCTCAAAACCAGGCATATCCCAGGACTCCAGTATGTAGGTCTGAGTATAGCGTGTCCTTTCCCTGTGCTTTGTTATCTAGGTGACAATATCAGTGGATGGAATTCTGACCACAACGGGATACACGCAAGAAGACTACACCATGCTGGGCTCTGATGACTTTTTCTATGTTGGAGGCAGTCCTAGCACAGCAGACCTCCCAGGGTCACCAGTCAGTAACAACTTTATGGGCTGTCTCAAAGAGGTAAATATCATCAGCCATAAATCCATCACAAATTTCCCATCCTATTGTCCGAAGATGGGCAAAGATGCAAATATTTCCATGGAAATACCTTCGGGATATGTCCTTTGTCTGGCTTCTGTTGTCAGAACTCACCCGTCTCTTAGAATCAAAACCAAAAGGGACATATCTGCTAAACTTGGTTGCTTCTAAAAATCCATTAATAGTTGAACTTGGTAACAGCTTAATGGGCCCCATCATGTCAGTATCTGAACCTTTTTAGCCTTGCCCTGAGGTGGATCTAAACACTATTTTTTTCATCTGCCACTAAAACCATCATGATCTAGCTACTCTTTTACTTCCTTTTTTGAAGTTCTTTCCTGAATTGTATCTGTTTCCTTTTAACAGCAAAAAGATTGTAAAAATATATAGTTTAGCCTCACAACTGACAGTTTTCTGTCATTCTTTGCTGTTGGAAAGGAAGGTTAATAGTAATTATGTTTTCTCTATTTAGGTCTCCTGAGCAATTGAAATTTTTAGCTGTAGACACAAAAAAATAAATGTATTGCAAGATCAGTAGCAGTTTATGACTTAGCTAAAGAGTAAACTGAGCTAAGAAACCATAAGTACAAATGAATTTCAGCAGATACATAGTCTTCCCTGAGCTGCAGAAGAGAAACGAGCGCTGAGCAGTACTGTGTAGCTGAGCTTTGAAGAGGAAGTAAAGCTTTCCTCTGCTTTGAACTGAACAGGCAGAGCATGTATTCTTACTAAATTCCTTCCTTTTCATCCCTTGCTATGCCACAAGTTGTTTGATAAAATGTATATGTATATTTAAGATTTTATAACACTTTGACTGTAAGATTAATTCTTTTTTTTTTTTTTGTTATATTAAGTACCAAATAGCCTGGAAATTCTGTATTCAAGGTTCTGTGTCAGATCTTCCTGCCATGATTTTGATCAATGGGGGCAACTAAACCCATCTCTAAGGAGAGAGAGAAATTTGGTGTTAGACTCTTCTGTCTTTGGAACCTGGTTTGTTGTTTTTGTTTTGTTTTTTTTTTTTTTGTGTGTACTGCTTAGAAGTTTGAGTTTCTTTAGATTCTGAACATGCTATGAGCTTGCTGTTTATTCATTTTCAATGGATCAATTCTGTAAATAAGAAGAGAGATGAGAATTTTAGTCTGTTAAGTAATGCTCAAGCATGAGAAAACATAATTCAGATTGCAAAGCAACCTTTCACTTGCTATTTCAGAACTCCTATGTTCCTCAAGCTTTTCAAGACAATGCAATAGATTTATATAAGCAATTTGGTAAATAGTTTCACTCATATTGAGAGGAGGTTTAAGTGCCCTTGCTTTACTTAGTATTATAATGAAATAGAAGATGAATCAGATCAAGGTGACCTGTTCTCTGGACCAGAGCAGGTTTATCATGTTGTCTTGGAGCATGGCTAGAAATAATACTATGCAGCTTACTGAGAAAATATGCCACGCAGCACCTTTAGAATCAAAATCTAACCTTCAAACTAGAACAATACTTCTATATCACTTTGTGATCTTGGACATGTGGGGAAAAAAAAAAAAAACTTAGATTCCTAACTGACATTTCAACACTGGAGATTTCCACTGAAAATTGTTACCTCTTTAAGCACTTTACTATTGCCTACTAAAGAGTGATTTATAACAAAAGAAAAAAAAGGCTAGGAAATAGCATTGCTTTCTGCTTTTAACTGATCTCATTTTTGTTCATGAGAACCATGCTGTGCCATCATTTTGAAGTTGTTATTGACCAAAGTTTTTGTGGTTAGGGTAACATGACTGTGAACAGTTTGCTCAGCAGTTATAGGTATGTCACACGTTTTGGTTTTCATCCCATTGCCAGTGCATTTGCAGGTTTCTTTCAAATCAGCACCTTAATTGCCTAGTTTGAAGGTCTGTGTTAATCTTTAGTATACTTGTGATACTTTAATATATCTTAGATATATTTATTTAGTAGTGAAGATGGGAGAGTTTGATAAAGGAAAATATTTGGCTTGATGTGGTGTTCATTGAAGTCTGTAGATATAATTAATGTCATTAGTATTATTGTCAGTATGCAGCATCCAGGAGTTCCTACTGTAGCTGCATTTTCATTAACCAATTGAAATTCTTTTGATATTTGTAAATAATGGTTGGATATGCTCTCTACCTTTTAAATGCAGCTGGAAGAGGCATTAGAACAGTACCTTAAATGTTTCTTTCTTATAGTTGTTAGTGTAAATTAATTGAAGTCCATATACACATAGGATGGAAAATTGCTCCTGATTCTTTCCAAACAAAGGTCAAATACAACAGAAATTATTCATCATGTTGATAGAGCTGAATATTAAGTTTTCATTACATGAAAGAGGTGTTTGAAAAAAATCTGCCTACTATAAATTCCAGAGTTCAAGAATGTACTGAAAGATCACTGCTGACTCCGCTATAATTTTTTGGCCAAAAAAAATAGCATGTTATTGTTAATGGCTACTGACAGAAAACTCAGTTACTAAGATCTTGTAATAATGCAAGGCTATAAAGGACATTACACTTATGTATATTCAGTTCTGAACAGCAAGCTCACATCAGGCTTTGAAGCCTGTGATACACTGTTAGATTATTCAGAAGTAATAATTTGTTTATTATAAATTGCTTCTGGGGTCTCTTAGATTTGTCAGACAGGTGAATCTTTCATGCAGATGGGAAAAGATCCCTTCTGGTGGATCCTGTGCTTAGATTGCTGTTAAAATTCAAGGTCTTTTAAATCATGGAATAACTGTAGTCGTTAAATATTTCTTAACTGCTTTGTGCCGAATGTTGCCAAACTATTTTCATTATTCCTCTTCATTGTAGGCTTTGTCTTTACTGAGCCAACTTTAAAAAAGAATTCCGCTTTGGTGGTTGATGCTTGTTTTCAATGATTATAACATGTTCAAAGGATTATAATCAAAGCTTTAGGAGCATTAATGGTGCCATTTCTACTCTACCTAACACCCACAGATGTCTAAACATAACAGGCTAAAATTTGAACACTGATGCTAATGTGCTTGCACTACACTTTGTTTGCTGTTTCTGTTTTTGTCAGAAAAGCAGATGTAGAGTATGTTTGTCAGCTGAGATAATGTTGAAGCTGGAATATTCATGGCCATCTTTTCTGACAGAAAATTTTGCTATAAAGGTGCTGATTTTACATTTAGAAAAACTTGTAGATTTGCTTTCCTTGACTTAAAACTATTTTCTTTGAGTTAAAATTGTTTGTGCTAAATTATGCAATAAATCTAAATCGATAATAGGTAAAGGAGTACAACTTCAAATAAAGGTTTTTAGTGGAGAGTCTTTTCTACATAGTTGCTCAGGAATCAGAGACTACCAAGAAGGCAGAATAAAAGCGTATAACTTCATAACACTAAAAAATCATCAGATTTCAAAGGACATATTTTTCACTATAGAAATTAGACAAAACCATAACAATTTCTGCCCTTTCCACCAAAGATTCTTCTAGTCCTGTCCTAAGTTTCACTTAGATTTCAAAATTATTTTACTCATCCTCTAGGCCTGCTTTCAAAAAATGTCCTTTGGATTTCTTCTATTAGGGAATGCTTTCATCTGGTGTGTGGTTTTAAATATCCTTTTTTCCTTTCTTTTTAAAGCAAATTTTGGTTTCCTACTGCTTCTAAGAATAAAGTGTACTTAACATTCAAATCCCAACATGTTCAAATTGTTCATTGCACTTTCAAAATTCTGTTGTTTGTTGGAGCAACCCCACTGTTGCTTAAAGTACTCCAAAACTGAGTAGCCTTGACCTTTTTTCCACACTCAACTTCAAATTTTTGTTATTGTATAAGTACTACGTACTTAGTGTTCTTAGTATGTAGTACTTTATAGTATTCATGACTTAGAGTCACGTACAGATTGTGTTAAGCTTTATCTCCTGTATGTCCAGAATTGCCTCCAGATTTTTTTTTTCCATGTAAAAGGTATATCTGGAGACCTTTTGAAGATTTTGTACGCATCTAAGAATGCATCACATATGTTATGTACAAACTGATCCTGAATTACTTTACATGTGAATCAGAGACAGCTTGGTCAAGTGTGTATCTGTACAGTAAATCAATGCTCAATTGCACTGTATATTCACAGATTGTGTCCATTCAGTGGACTCGGTGCTTCCAAGCTCAAGGCAAAAACAATTTGCAGATTTAGCCAAACTAACAAATATTTTGGTTATAAACCATCAAGATCACAATCTCCCAAACTGTACCACTTATAACAGAGCTGTAGATATATCACTACAAAGATGATGGTGGCAACAGTAGTGTTGTGACTGTTTTGGGAGCTGCCAAAGATAATTCTGTTCCTTTCTTTCCTTGTCCTGTGGAATATCTGTAATTTCACTTTTGGTTCAAAACGCTGGAGTAGGACTGAAGTAGGAAATATGGGATTAAACACTAGATGGATGTAGTATAAGGAGAAAAAAATAGTAACTAGAGAGTAAAGAATAGTAAATAGAAAATAGTAAATAGAGAGCAGATGGTTAATTAATATGCTTGGAGCATGTAGTAGAAAGATGGTAGAATACAAGTTTGGGAAGCTGTAATGCAATTGTGAGAGATGTATGGTTGTAACTGATCTTGAAGAGGTAAGACTAGCCCTAGTGAATGGAAAGAGCAGGTGGATGTATTGTCTTTTTTTTTGAGGACAAGGTTCTGGGAAACTGAAGGCTATCCCCAGAAAAATCATTCTGCCATCATTTACTCTGGCAGTAATACTGCCAGAAAATGATATCTGAGAGAATGATATATCAGAATCTGAAATCTATACTTCAGTAGAGTGCAATCCTCTTCTTGTTGTCTGTAACTAGCATGCAAGGCTTTTCTTTATATGTGGTGATGAATATATTTTAAAATAAAGTTCTGTTCATATAAACAGGAAGCTAAAGACATTTTATTATAAATATAAAAGTAGCTTTATAAATCTAAAGTTGTATAAATAACTTATAACAGT